GCTTGTGGCAAAAGAGGCAAAACCAAATATATTTTTTGTAGCAGGCTGTGAAATATGGTTATTTCTCTTCTAAATAACACTGAGGGGAGTCAACTGTTCAGAGGAGATGCAAAGGTTTTTGTTTCACATTAGCATCCATTTTAATATCACTGTCTACCTGAACTAGCCAGCTTTAGTACTGGTTCAAATAAGGTCAGGTTCAGATTAATGAAAGCCGAGATGGTGGCAGCCAGACTATTAAACCAACAATCTGTGATTAGGCCTCCTTCTATCACTTCACTATATTTATTTATTTTGACACTGGAATAATGTTCCTCAGAAACTTGAGCGTGAACCAGAAACAATACAGATAATACCATTCTGTAGATCAGAGGGTAGCTGTGGAATCGGGAGATAATAACTCGTAGCTATATCGCTTTACCTCTATTGATTCTCGAGGATTTTCTTCTTTCATTTTCAGTCACTTCTTGGTATCTGTTTGCTTCCTGAAAGCTGAAAAATGATTTCCAGCTTTCAGGAGGCTGATTCATTGTGCGCTACTTATCACCACCTGCCAGAAAAGAGAAAGTCTGACCTTTATGAAACAGTGTGGAGAAAGAGGCGTTGCATCCCAGGTGTTGGCTGCTGGATTAAATGCAGAATGCTGAAAGGCTTGTCTTCTGATCAAAAGAAGAAAGTGGAAAGGCCTGACAGAGAAAGGGAAGAGAGGAAGTGATGGTACAGAAACGAGGAGAGCGAGGTGCAGCGGCACTTGTCAGCATCATCATCGAATCGCACAAATGCGACGTATTTTTAGACGGTGCTCCTCTGAAGAGACCTGTCAGGCCTGTCCAGATGATTGCTGTTTGCCGTGATGAGCGGCCTGATGTTCAGCTCTGGATGAGTCATTCAGCTCAGCTACAGACATCCACCAGCCCATCCATTTCTGAAAACATCAGACACAGAAATGGTTGGCTGCAATAATAAGCTTTGCCTCAGTGTGGTTCGTGCATTCAGCAGGCACGCAGTTATCATTCAGACTGCAGCTGTAACACTACAGTATCTGCTGTTTGAAACTGACCGGAACATATTGGGATGGATGTAGCCATCATTATGTTTTTTTGAGCCAGAAGTGATCATATTTTGGATGAGAGTGTGGGCTGCTAACTTATCAGCAAATGCCAGCATGCAGGATACAGCTGTATCCATAAACTGTGTGGGAATAATGCGCAGAGACATGTATATAGGCTAATGTAATGCTAATACACCAAAACTGAAACCCGCACAGAAACTCTTTAAGGTGCTCCAAAAGGCATCAAAACGAGGTCCAGCTTACCAAGTTGAAGGAGAGGTGAGGGTTAGCACATCTCAGTTGGCTCCAGCAGCCTGTATCACAACCAGGTAGTGATGTGTCGGTCGCAAATGAAACGGCTCTTAGAGCCCACTCTTTGAAGTGAA